GACAACTAAAACATCTGAATACATAGAGGATTAGCAAGGATGTGAAGAAATAACAGCTCTGAGGTTGGAACTGGACCTACCCTATGACCCCACAATCCCACTTAGAGATGAATACAAGGTCCACTCTCTCCTCAGTGCCCAGAACAGAGGAAAGGTAGGTCAGTGGAACATGGGTTTAACAGAGGGTTGGGGGAGACTGAACAGGCTGCTAGGAGAAAGACTTCAAGTGGGACACAGGCCAGGTAAGATAATATCAGATGCCATGCTTACCTGGGGCAACGTCCTCCCCAAAGCAGCTAAATCAGTTTATCTTCCACAGCCAATCTGACTATATTATTTCCTCCTTAAACTTAACCAGCTAAAACTTCCTAGAGCGGAATCCCAACTTGTATCAGTTTCCTGTGACTACTCTAACAAATTTCCATAAATTTAGTGGCTTAACACAAGACAAATTAATTACCTTACAGTTCTGGAGATCAGATCCAAAGTCAGACCTAGTTCTCAATGAGCTAGAATCAAGGAGTAAGCAGGGCTGTGTTCCTTTCTGGAGGTTCTGGGAAAGAATCCATTTTCTTGCCTTTTCCAGCTTTCCCTGCATTCCTTGGCCCGTGACCCCTTCTATTATCAAAGCCAGAAATGATGGGTAATTTTCCTCATTTCACATCACTATGACACTGACTCCTATGCCTACTTCTTGCACGTTTAAGGACCCTTGTGATTACTTTAGGCCCACCAGGGTAATACAAGATAATACCCTTATTTTAAAATTAGCCAGTAGCCCAGGCTGGTGTGGCTCAGTGGGTTGAGCACCTGCCTGTGAACAGAAGGGTCTACAGTTTGATTCCCAGTCAGGGCACATACCTGGGTTGTAGGCCAGGTCCCCAGTTGGAGGTGTGTGAGAGGCAGCCAATAGTTGTTTTTCTCACACATCTCCTGCACATCTCTCAATCAATTGATGTTTCTCTGGCACATTGATGTTTCTCTCCCTCTCTTTTTCCCTCCCTTCCCCTGTCTCTGAAAATAAATACATAAAATCTTTTAAAAAAATAAAATAAAATAAAATAAAATAAAATAAAATAAAATAAGCTGATTAACAACAACCTCATTCCATCTGCTACCTTAAATCCTCTTTGCCAAGCAATATACCAGATTCACAGGTTCTCTAGATTAGGACATACTCTGCTTTAGAAGGCCATTATTCTGCCACACAACCTCTTCTCAACTCTCCCCCTATACACACACCTCTAGTGGAGTCCCAACCCTTTCAAAATACCCTCCAGCCCTCCAGCCTCCGTGCTACCACATACCCTGTTCTCCCATTACACCAACCTTCCTGTCTTTTTTGAATTGATTTATACCCATCCAAGCCCAAAAATGACAATTCATCCTCCAGAGCTCAGCCCAAAGGCTATGTCCTCTTTGATGCCTTCTCTGATTGCTAGCCTAAATGAATCACCCCTCTTTCAATACACTAACCTAGCTTTCTGTATATCCCAATTGCAGCCTCGAGCATAGCCCCCTGCAACCATCTGTTTACATGTTTTTTCCTCATCCAAAGTAGTGAGTCCTTCAATGATTAAGAACTCTGTCTCATTTCCCTGTGGGTTCCAGGGTGATATCACAGAGCCTGGCAAAGAGTGGGCACTCAAAGAGTATTTCTGAAGCTTGGAGGAGGCAGAAGAAAGCCACCCTGGACTCCCCTCAAGAAAACAGATGCAAAGAGTAACCTAGGTTAAGTACACATCAAATAGGGCCAAAGAACTAGTTAAAATGCTCATAACAAAAACAATTAAACAATCCAATGTTTAGTTTGATGCACAATTTACTATCATGTGGAAGAAACTCTGTACCACAAGTAACGCCCATTATTTTCTATTGCTAACCTGTGGGGCAGTTCTAAAGGAACAGGTAAAGTTAACCTCAAGAGAAATAAAGGATTTCTCTAAATGATTTACAAAGATGTTCTCAAAATTATAGAAGAGAGCGTAGATGTTGCTCCAACACAGCAGGAGTGCCTGGAGACTGCCCAACAGTCCCACCACATAATCAGAGAGCTCTGGTCCCACTCCAGGAAGGGTGGGGCGCACAATGCCAGTGAGTGTGAGGGATGCTACAATCGACACTGTTTAGGGAAAAACAAATTGCCTATATGTAAAAATATCTGCATATGTTATAGTAAAAGTACATTCTTCAGAGGGTGGTTGTTAATCAAACATGGTTTCATTTAGTTTCAATGATATGCTACTTAATGTCCATAGCTAGCAAGAAAATCCTCACCTAGGGAGGAAACTGAGCAAGGGAATGAAACTGTTGAGTCTGCACAATTGTCCACTATAAAAAAAGACAATAATATGACTTAAGTTTTTAAAATGCACGCTTCCTTTCAGATTCAGTAAAATTACCCTGTTTGAATTTTCTTTAATAGTATGAATTCTGAAGTTCATTTTAAAATGTAATCCAAAAACCACTCACAGTGAAAAGAAAAATTGAAGATGAAAAAAAATCAGATAGCACATATTCAGCACCATGGACAGTGGGCCCATGCTTGACTGTAGAGTCCTTGTCCTGAAGACTAAGAAATCAGAGCTGCTCAAAATACACAGCATTCATTCTAATGTTCAAGTTTCAGAGTCATTCTAATACATAAGCAGGTATTTTCTTTTGTTATGGTCCAAAGGACCAGCCTTCTTCACCAAAGGGAATAACTTCTACCTACCAAAATCTGATTCACTGATTACTTTTACAATAAAGCCCTGGGATTTCTGAGAAATTAGGAATGACTTTGTCACTGACACATGGCTGTGAGTCCACAAATTGGCTACAGGTCAAGGAACTGAAATTGTTGAAACTGAAGCACAGCATCCAGTCTTGAATGGCTAGATTGTTTCAAGGATCTCATGGGACTTCTGCAAACATAAACGCAGCATGCTCTGAGCCTCCCTCTAACAACAGGAAAAGAGATAGCTTCTTTTTAAACATCTAACAAAATGAACAAGTATTGAAATGTTCTCATACAAAAAAAGTAACCATAAAGCTGTATATTTTCTCTAACCCTGAGCATTAATAATGACATCCGAAAAAGTGATGTTCTGAGGTCCAATATCACCAATAATCAGCACCACCTATGGCAACATCAGTCACAAAGCCCTGAGTTCTAAACAGGACACCCAACCTTTTCAGTTATAAAGACTCCTTTTACCATCAAACCTTCTTATAACTTTATAATATTGAGTGTTAACTAAGAAAACACATAAAGTTGTGCAAATCTTAAAACGTGTGTAATGAACCTGCACTGTACAAACAACAGCATCTACATACAAGGGAAAGACAACAGTACTTTGTTGTCCGACATCAGTTGGCTGGACATCAGTTGACGGACCTCTGTTGGTCAGTGACTGCATTTATAAGTGAAGACCCCTTGGTTTCCACTGGATCTCCAAGTCTGAAAACACCATCCAACACTACTCCGGGTCCTCCAACGTGAGGATCAGTGAGGTCTTTTGGTATCTTGCCAACAGCCCCTCCAGAGCGCCAATGATCTTCAGTGTCCTGAACCAAAATGGGCCTCCCTGAGACATTTTTGAAAGTTATGAGTTGTTCTGGGCAGGAGGAGCCTGGAAATCGGCTGTCTTCAACAGGGAAGCTCCCTTGCGCACTTCTCTGGTTCCCATATCCAAGCCAAGTTCAAAAAACAGAAAAGGGACAACTCATCCCTGTGCCAGAGGAACGGTTTGAACTGGAGGGTCTGTGCACCACCCAGCTGGTCTCGGAGGTCTCCGGTCAAGGCCTGCTCGCCCCCAGCATTCCTTTCGGGGAACCGCACACCACAAATCCTCAGGACCCAGGCAGTGCTCCGTCAGCTCGCGCGCAGGGCAAACAGGCCCCGGAGTCCATGCTGCCTCGAAGGGAAGGCGGAAGGAAGATAACCAACCCTACGCACAAGATTTAAGATCTCACTCTTCATTCACTTTTAAATGCGTCGTGTGAGAAATGTACTTCGGTGTAGCAAGAGAAAAATCAGAAAAGCCACCAGGCAGGAAGGAAAAATAAACTTTTACTGAACAACGCTTCCGGAGCAAAACACTTGTGGAGACAATAAGAAACACGCTGTGGCCCACCCCCAAATAAAATACAGGGACCAGAGAGGAGGAACGTGCCCCTCACCCCCAGGTCACCTCCTCCCCGCTTGGACACAGTGTCCACGGAGCGACGCAGACGCCTGGGCCGAGGGGGCAGCTGCGGCGTTCGAGGGAGGGGACGCCAAGGGCACCGCGAGGGTCCGGCTCGCCCGCCCGGCGCTCGGCACCCGCGCGTCCGCGGCAGCTCCCGCGTCCCGGGCACAGGGCGCCGGGGCCGCTGCCCCCACGATCTCTCTCAGTCCTCCGCGCGAGCAAGTTTAAGTCGTTTGAAACTTAAGCCTCATAAAGCCCAGAACAAAATCGTGGCAGCTGTTCACCCACAAGCGAGGCCATCCAGCCGTTACCGGAGGCAGCGTCTCGCCAACAACTTCTGAGGGAGTGGGGGAAGGGGAGACCCGCCGCAGCTCCTCGCGCGAATCCCAGACACCCGCCCCCACCCCCGCCGGGCCCCCGGCCCCCGGCGCGCTCCGGCTCCTCAGAGAGGCGGCCCGCCGGGCGCTAACTCCGAGGGTCGCGGGGAAGGGGGGGGTGACCGGGGCCCGATCCACCCGCCCACCCGCGTAGCAGCTGCCGCCCAAGTTGGCCCGGGCGGGCGGGGCCTCCGCTCTTTCCGCCTCTCGGGGGCTCGGTCAGCCCGCGACCCGCGCCTCCGCCCGCAAGCCCCGCGGTTAAAGTTGGCGGCCGCCGGAGGTCGCCGCCCGGCCACGGCCTCCTGACCACCGCCCGGCCCGGACCCCGACAGGGACCCGACCCGAGATTGACACCAGGCCCCAGACCCCGGACCGGACCCCGACTGCCGGCCTGGACCCCATCTCCACCTGTGGACCCCGCCCCTGGCCCCGCCCGTGACCACTCACTCACCGAGAGCGCGTCCGCGGGCCAGCCCGCGGGAGGCCCGGCCGGGATGGGGAGTGGGGACGGTGTGATCCAGGCGGTGGCGGAGGAGCCAGAAGAGACTGAGTCTAAGAAGTCCGAAGAGACTGAAGCGACTGAGGCGATTAAGGCGACTGAGGCGCCGGTAGCGGTTCCTAGCGCTCCAGCCGAGGCGCTGCGCGCGGCGCGAGCCCACCCCCTCTGTGCGGCTGACCAATCCCGCGCCGCGCGCCGCCACTGGCCCCGCCCCAACCTAAGTGCAGAGTCCCGCGAAAGCGGGCGCCGCAGACCAATGGAACGGCGGAACGGAGAGTGAACGGCCAATCAGAGCCTGTGAAGCTCTCCTGAAAGAAACCAGCAGCGTCGCGGAGGCGAGGGCTGAACCAGGCCAATAGCGAAGGGGCAGTACGAAAAGTTGGGGCGGGCAGGAGGCGGGGCCTTGGGCCGGCGTGTCACGGGCCGGGGACGGGCCACTGGGTGGGGTGGGGGCGGGGCCAGAGACGGGGCGGGGCTGTAAGTGGGAGCTGAGAGGGACCTTGAGCAGACCGGTTACTAGCCTGGGCGGGGCCTGGAACAGGGCAAGGGGCGGAACAGTAGGTAGGGTGGGGCCGAGGCGGGTCCCTGGCTGGGGCGTGGCCTGGGACGTCCAAGCGTCAGACTCTCGCTCCCTCCTATCCCGCGGGCCCGGGTCCTTTGGTGATAAGTAAAGCAAACACTCCTCCCAATCTCGGGATCTGTTCCCCAGATCTTAGCGAGTCCCCTACCGGCCCCGCCGCCGCCCCTGCCCCTACCGGACTGGGCTCCGATGCCCACAGCGAGCCCAATCCCCCAACCGTCCCATCGCCTCGGTTGATGTCCCCTTCCTCCACGCCGCAGAATCCATTTGTCGGCAGTGTGCCCGTCTGCCCGCGGGGTCAACTCAGGACGCAGATGGGCTTACGCCTGGACGTTCGCAGGTGCCTGGTTGGCACACCTGCCCACAGGTGACCCGAGGACGAAGACCGAGGCTGGCTGAAAAGCTGGGCTGTCCTCGGGATCAGAGCAAGTCCAGCTTGTTTCGTATCATTACCCTTTCTCCACACCTCCTGGGCTGCGATCTGCTGTTTTGTTTCTATTCCGGTCATTTTCGTGGCTCTCAGCCCTTCGTGTCCCATCTCTGCATTGTGGCCTATTCTCAGCAAGAATTATTTCTTCCATCGCAGCATCCACGACACGAATCAGGTCACAGGCACTGCGGTAGCCTCAGACCCCCGGGAATCACTAGGGGACTGGGTAGCTGGACCAGGCGTCGCCCTCCCCGGGCCCTGAGCCCGGGATAGGGCTCATCCTTAATCGGTCTCTTTCGCCTCGGAGCTAGGGGAGGGGACAGCTGGCGGCCAGAGCAGGGCTTGGGGCGGGGGGGGGGGGGGGGGGGGGGGGGCGGGGATCCTGGGAATAGCTGTGTCCTCCGCAAGCATCCCTGCCCAGGGTCTCATTGGCACCATTTGCTCCTAGACAGGGACAAAAGGCATTTCCCAGGCCTCTCCTCTCTGAACCCTGCTGCTTCGTGGGTGGTGAAGGGTGGAAAGAGAGCCGCAGGAAGCCCACCCACTCAAAAGTTACCATTATGACCTCTTTTTCGAGTGTGGGAGCATTAAAAACGGCCTAGTACTGGAGCCTTACCACGCGACACAAGGTATAGCTGGCTGGCACCCAGAGGCAGGCAGGACTGGACAACACCAGAGAGAAAGTTCTGGAGGGTCCACACCAGAGGAGGTTGGTTACGGGGAAAGTCATAAAGCTACGGTGCTCACGTCCTCACATGTCACTTTTGTAGATCAAAAACAACCTTTAAAAAAGAAAGGGCGTGGGTTGGAGGGTCAGAAGGGTCTGGTGGGGTCACCTGAAAAGGCAGCAGTATGGTTCATGAGTACTTCCGAAGACCGGTCTGGAGGCAGGGACCAGGGGAGCCCCTCCCAGCAGTGTGGGTGACACCCGTCATGTTCAGAGCAGGTGTGATTTAACCATGTGCTCTAGGGGTAGGAAGGAGAATGTAGCAGCAGAGGGAGGCAGAAGCCATGGTTCGGTGGTCCCACGATGGAGACACCAGGACAGGACACTGGGAATTGAACAAGAAGGGATGATGCAGCACAGCCAGCAGGATTTGGACCAGGAGACCAGGGGTGCAAGAATTTCCAGCGTCCCAACTTCTTGGCTCTGTCAGCTTCAGTGTGACTCCGCAGGCAAAAAGGGCCAAAGGGACCCTGGGGACCCCATTCTCAAGGCCAGAATGCACCGCAGGGGCACATGCAGAGCACCCTGAGCCCTCCCACCCCCCCACCCCCCCCCGCCTAGATTACAGGCTGCCAGCCTCCCACTTCCCCGTCCTCTCCAGGAGCCGGACGCCTCTCAGCTGCCTTCATAGCCTCCTGAAAGACACAGATAGTCATTAGGAAAGTAATGATAGTGTTTTCGGGACAGCATGTTGGACCCTAACAACTTTCAATTATTTCCAGTTCCTGGGAGGAAAAAGCAGCTCATCTCCTGCCTCCGCCCTTGACACACAAGACAATCTGTGTCTGCGGGCATATTATCACAAGTTAGAAGATCTGTGAAAGCCGAACTGCCGACCCGAGCAGCCTCCACCCCCACACCACAGCAGCTGGGCGGGGCGGAGCTGGCCGGGGCTCAGCTCCGCCCCTTGAACAGGACCAACCCGCCTCCACGTCTCCACCACCACCGGGTTGCTATGCTTCCTGTGCGTTAGGATGAGTGCGCTTTCGCCGTTGTCGCTGCGGCCCTTCCCGTAAGAAGTGCACCCAGGGGCCCGTGTTTATAAATAACTCCATGATGTTTTGTTGAGGGGAGCAGAGAGGGAAGGAGACACATAATTATCATCTGCTTGGAATGATGTCAGGCCAGACCCTGGCAAGTCTCATAGCACTGGCCTTCCTGTCACACACGGCCCTGCCACCAGGGAGTGTGTCCACCTTATCACAGGACTGGAGCATCTGGAGGGGTGGGGACGGGAGCCGGTTTGACTCCATGTTAGACGGCTTTATAAGGCGGACGAGGGGTTGAGGGGGTGGGAAGTAGAATAGTTATGTGCAGAAACAGTCCCAGTGGTAATTAGTGTTAATGTCCTCCCAGGTGTGTAGTTCTCCCCCAGGCTTCCTGGCATGTGGAACTCAGGACCCCCAGCTGCAGGGTTCCCTTCTCCCCTACTATGGGGACAGGTCTTCTGTGGAGTATGGAGCATCTGATGGCTTTCAGAAGGTCACTTATCCCCATACCGCTCACCCCTGTGGGCCTGCCGCGGTGACAACTTGCATTGTCATCACAACCATCTTTATGCTCACCTAAACACAAGTTTGGGAAATGGGGTGGTGGGGAGGACTGTGCTAAAATCCCCTTCAGAAAACAATGAGGAAGAAGCTCCCTTCATAGGGCCACAACCCCAAGCCACCCCTAACGGGCCTGCCCTCCCTCCCTCCCTGCACTGCCACCACTGTTCTCACAAAAAGCTGCCTGGGGGAGGCAGGGTCTGCTGAGCTCGGAGGTGATTCTGTGGTAGCCAGGGTGGTACCATGAGAATCGGGAAGCAGATCCACAGGTCAGTGCGCAAAAGTTCCTCCCTGTGACGTCAGAGACGAAAGACAGCACCTGACTTGTCTTACTTGGTTGCTGAAATATCCCATTGCAGCTTTATTAGGCAGGACAGTCAAAGGGTCTCCTCTGGTGCCTTCAATCCACCTCCTAAACAACTGTGGGAAGGTCCCAGAGGCAGAAAAACCAGGACCAGTCAGGCCGCTAAGGTGCAGGCTCAGAAGATGGTGTGGCGGGAAATGGGCTGCATAGGAAGTGGCAAGCATGGATACAGCATACAAGACAGATGAACAGGACGAAGGACAGAGGCAGAGAGAGGGAGAGAGACAGAGAAAGATACACACACACACACACACACACAGAGACAGTGAGAGAGAAAGAGGAATAGAGAGAAACAGAGGCAGAGAGGAGAGACAAAGAAAAAACAGAAAGAGGAAGGGAGCGAACTGGATCGGGCAGCTCCAGACCCCCCAGTACTTGTCAGGCTCTGGACCGTTTCTTTGGTTGTTGTTTGGTGTTTTTTTTTAGCATCCTCTGGATCCCACCCCACTTTTATCTCCTTTGTTATATATTCGAGGTTTCTAATATTTGTGTAAACAAGAGAGATACTGCCTTCTTTTTCCTCTCTGAAAAGAACTACCACATCTGCTCACACATCACAGGAGCAGCAGTAACTCGGGTCATCCAGCCTTCCCTTCTATTTTTAGAAGAATTTCAGGGTGAAAGGGGAAGACAAAATTCCAGCCCTCCTCCGTGTACCTCGGCCATGAAGCCTCTACAATGAGAACGACTATCTTTGAGTCACTCAGCACCCGCCCTCCCTCCCTCCACTCCGGGCGGCAGGTAGAGGCTGGGAGGGAAAGAGAAGACCTCTGATACCTGCAGGAAGAACATGTCCCCAAGTTGTGTGACTAAATGTGGGTCACTGTGGATGCTCTGTCTGTGTACATCTACTGGTCTAAAACAGACTCCTGTTCACTTGCTGTTTTTTTTTTTTTTGTTAAAATCATGTGAAACTTCTCTGTCGACATAAATAAGCATCTCCAGTCAGCATCAGTGCAGGTGATTTAAACATATTGATCTGATTGTAGAACACCCTTGTGATAGGAAGAGGGTGAGGGGACAGGCTGGGCCCAACCCTCCACACCCTTATTTACTTGGGACCCCTATTTTCTTAGGGTTCCATCTATGTCATTGGTTCCCAATTGCACTGTCTTTCTACTTTATTGGTCTTTGACTCCTGCCATTAAAGACCTGTGATGAGAATCTTCAGGTGAAAATGCAAGAACGTACATGTTGAGAAATCAACCATTAAAATGAAAATTAAGGAGGAAACCCCCTTTGCTACTATATGGATCACAAACTGGGAATCTGTGAGCCAGGCCAGCACGTGCACCCTGACAGCACCACGCCGGCAAGAGCTAAGGAGTTTGCAAACTCGTGAACAAAGGCAAGGCTACAAAACTAATCCTCAGAGGGTCTCAAGTGTGCCATGTCAGGCACTCCACTCCCCAAGATGCCGAGCCCAGGGTCTACCACTAGGCCCTGTGAGCAGAGCCGGAGCAGCAGAGAAATTCCCCTAGCAGACAGAGT